TGTTGTGGTTCAAACCAACATCACCTGGCTATTTGTCCCGACACTGAGAAGAAAGACGTGTTGATGAAATCACTCTCTTACATGGAGGACACTATGCGCAAGTGCTTCACCGAGGACGACAAGGCAATCATCCGACGTGATGTTGAAAGCCGAAAGAGGAAAGCAAAGTCATCCAAAGACGTCGAAGACGAGGACTACATGGATGTGGATGATGAAGATATTGAACTTCCCGAAGAAGAGCCGGAACTAGGAAGTAAGGTACCACCTTACTCTCCGAGAGCCAAAGGTAGACCACAATCGTCAGACTCTGCAAAAGAGGAATACGCGAAAGCGGTTGAGGCAACCAAGAAGGCCTTTGGGAACGCCAGCTTCGTCACCAGATTCAAAGAGCCCGTCGACCTCTTTGACATTGCCGATGACAAAGAAGGAGGAGAGTACAAGGTCGCAAATCACAGGGTTGATAGATCAGGTCCTGATGGAAAGAGGGAACTTGATGCACTTATTCAGGAGGCTGCAGCACTCGGAATAAAGATGCCCAAAGTGAAGGACCTTGCTCCTGACCCACAACAATTTCAAAAGGCTGGATATCGGCAGATTGAGGTGACTTGCGACAGAGGAAACATTGAGATAATTCCACAGTATGGAGTTACATTCTATGTGGAGTACTGGAATGGACCGAAGATAGATGCAACTTTCACGGATCCACCAAAGATGAACCCAGCAATTCGCATCGACAAGCTCAGCGAGGAGAGTCAATGGGTCAACGAGATTAGCCATAGACTCAATAGACTACTCAGGCATGGAGTGGGAAAGCATAATGGGATTCAATCGCACCGCGGTCGAAAACCTCATGTGTCCCCGAAGTGCAATGAGGGTGGATGGGTGAACATCGATGAGATCCTGGAATATGATCATGTCTTCAACGATGGTGTCAATATCAGTACTATCACAGGTACTCAACGTGAGCAAGATACCAAGACAGAGCGATACCAGTATTTATGCAAGGCGATGTGGCATGCAAAGAAGTTGCAGAACAGAATACGCTATCAGATTGCCGCTATTCGCATCTCAAAGGAGGATGTCTCACTCGAAGAGGAAAGGCGATACTGGGCAAACCTCATGTTTCACGGCACAGATGCACCGTCATTTCTGAAGCATGAACGTTGGATCGTTCCTTGTGCAATTCGAGCTGTTGCCTCTCACAATTCTGGAAGAGAGACCGTTCTTGAAGAGGATGTGTCAATATATCCTGTGTGGACATCACATCTCATCCCAGAGAATGTGGCAATGCAGCTTGGAGGAAGCTTTCACATGACATCGCTTTCCAATATTGAGTCAATCATGAAACTGGGAATTGTCCCTGGTGGAATGGATGGATATAGAGGTAGTGTTTTCTTCAACCACTTTGCGCCGTGGGATGATCGATCATCAAAGATTCTGAGATCAAGATGGCCAAGAGGGGGAATGCCCGTTTGCCTTTATGTTCCAATCATGACTTTGAGGAAGCTTGGAGGAAGAATTTCGGAGAATTCCTACACTGTTGTTTTTAGAGAAGTTCCATGGAGATGTGTACGAGGTGCTTGGTACTGGGACGACCACGGTCAGGCATGGAGGAGACTCCTGCTGGGAAGCACTGGAGAGCAAGGTGTTCTAGCGGCACGTCATGGACTTTGGGTTGCTCAGAAGCATACCATCCTCGAGAGAGCCGACGAAGTCACGAAGTCAGCCTCGGCAACAGATGACAACGTCCAAAAGCTCGTGTCCCTTATCGATGAAGTACGATTCGATGACAATGGAGAGCTGTTCGAGGATTCCATCAGTGAGGAAACTTGGGACGAAATCATCTCCAGAACATGTGAAGGGTATCGCAACGTGGATGGCAATATTTTGTGTCCATCATGTATGCATTTGACTTCTTCATCTTTGTCCGTATGCCTATCTTGTCAAGGCAGGCTACTCTCGTGTGGCATTCGCAACACTGTCATTTCCGATTCACCCGTTGATCTTGTGAGCGACGATGAAGAGGAAAAGAAGGAAGAGAAGAAGCCTGAACATGATGATCAAGATATATTGGACCAGGCCACTATGGACGAGATCAGAAAGGCTTGGGAAGAAGACATCGCTCAAACTGAAGCAGCTGATGACGACGAGGACATGGACAATCAAGATCCTTCCAAACCGTCTGATGGTGCAGAGAACCTCAAGAGTGACAATGTCGAGACCCCATCCTTCAATGAGGACGAGATCGACTACGGTCGTGATTCTGATCTAGAAGATGAAGACGAACGAAACGTGATCATCGAGATCCAGAGGAGCACACAACAATATGAGGGGAAGAAACGTCAAGATGGTGAGCCCGAGGATGAAGACGTCACCGACGACTTACATCCGGAGGCGAGTCGACCGACAGATCGTGATGAACCGGGATACTATGCACAGCATGGAGCGACCGAGTTCAATCCCGAAGAAGGAAGAGACAACGAAGATCTCCCCATCTATTGTCGAGTACCGGAACCTCGAATCTATGCGCATCAAGAGAGAGCCTACTGTCAGGACGTCTCCATGAATGCATCGGGTTTGATGGATAGGTATGTGGTCAAATGTGTGCTGAACATGATCTCCCTGATGTACAAGAGCTACTATTGCACCAGCCTTACCGACTTCAAAGCAAATTGGAAAAAGAAGCGTCTGGATGTGATAAGCAAGTTCGGTACAGGAGATTCCACTGAAATCGATGACGATGGGAGACCATTGGATCCAACAGATGACATGATGTTAAACTTTGCCAACGACAACAATATTACAACTGAGGAGGCCTGGCACCGATTCAGAGGAGAGCAATTCATTTGCAAGGTAGCACTCATGATCCTATCATTTGGTCATACTCCGAAATCCTTCAAGGAGGAATATGGCAACTTCGAATACTCCACCAACTTGACTGATGCACAGCTTGAGGAGTTGAAAGCGAAGAAAGCCAGTGCAATGACTGAATTGGTACAGAAGTGCATCCATGCGATTTATGGGTGTCGGACATATTCTTATTTTAGAACCGACATTACATCACCCTACCACAAGGTGATCGATCCTCTGGACATCATGTACTCGAGAATGAAGAGCAAGTGGGAGAAGTCTATTCTGTTGATCGTTGATCAACATGAGATCAGGTTGCCCCCACAAGCTCAGGAAGTCATAGAGTCAATGGCCAGAAACCCCAACGTTGGACATACAGAGAGATGGATGAGCGTGGTAGAACACAAGCATGTTCAAGCTCTTACCAATCGTCTAGGCTTTGGAGATAGGGCCAAGGAGATTCAGGGCAAGAAGAAGCAGGCAGCCAAGGCAACTGCTAAATCAACATCTTCGTCAAGAGCTGAGGCAAAGCCAGCATCTACACCCAGAACCGAGGCCAAGCCGTCGTCAGCACCAGGTGAGGAGCCAAAACCTTCAGCAGCACCTAAGAGTTTCGGGCCCTCATCAGCAGAGGAGAACAAGGTGAAGGCTGCTCCAAAAGCCAGACCACATGATAAATCACCATCCAGTGCTACCGATGTGTTTGAGCAAGCTTTGCAGGAAGATCTTGCCGCCAACACACATACAGCAGAAGGTACAACTTCTTCATCATCCCGAGGACATTCCAAAGGAGGAGGCCAATCTGGAACATCTTGGAGGCCGGCGCTAACGCAAGAACGTCGCGAAGTACCTCAACCTTCTGAAAAGGGAAAGGGAAAGAGCAAATCCAAAGGAAAGTCCAAGAAGGGAGAAGATGATCGGTGGGATGCTCAGGGCAGCTGGGATCATCGTGGATGGAGAGGTTATCACCAGTGGTGATTTCTTTGAACGACTATGAGGATACCATGCAAACCAGGGAGGAAGTCATTCACCGGATGTCTATCTGACCTGGAACGCTGTAAGTGTATCATTGCAAATCGTCAATTTGATTTGATACCATGAGCATAATGGAAGGAAGACAATCACCGACTGTCTCTCCGACTTGCCGTTCTGTAAGTGTATCCAAACCAAAACCTACATCTTTTGAGAAGTGTGAAGTCAGTTGCCGATGTGACATCTACGTGGAAGTCACCAGTTCGGATCTACATCAAAGCGAAGCTCTTTTGAGTGGATACTGAGCGAGGCCTCGTGACTGTCTCACTTGTTCAATTCGATTTTTTTTCAAAGGTTCTGAGCCATAGTTGCACACTTTATATGTAAAAGTCCGCTTTAGTCCAGCATGTTCCGTAGTATGAGCCTCATATGAGTCTCGCGGCAAATCATACAATTTCTTTGTAGCACTTACATCCCTAAATTTTCGTGTGTGATCGGAACATATTGTTGCCGTTCACATGGGGGGTGCGAATGGAAGTGCAGTGACATGTACAGTGCAACATGTACATATATATATGTATCATATGTACTTTGGCTCAAGGATCAAGCGACTAGAAAAGGTGCGGTTTCCGTTCCGACGCTACGCCGCTTATGGACCGTCAGTGATAGCTTCAAACTTCGCTGATTAAGATCCACTCGCAGTATAATACAGATATATTTCAATAAACTACACTTAGATTACAGATATATTACAATAAAATATAGCTATATTACAGGCATAATACAGGTTTGGAAATCTTGGGTCTCCAAAAAAACACAAAAAATAACACAAAATATTTCAGAACTCTTTCTGCAGAAGCCCCAAGTTCAAAGACCTCTGGAAAATTGTGTTTGTTTGTTCTTTTTTTTTTGAGATCCAATACTTGGGGAAATACTTGTGTCAAGCCAAAACTAGCAGATGAAGAAGACAAGTCTGATAACTGAGTACAACTCAAAAATTGATGAAAAAGTGCACTTCCACAGCCTGCCGGACTCTTCTTTTTTGGGGGGGCATTGTTTTCTCCACTATATAAACCCCAAAAATAGACCAAGTTTTTACAATGGGTGAAGATGATGAATGTTCACAGAGAGAATCGGTCATGAGAGCAAGTCAGGTGCTCCACTGAACCTGTACCGAGGCATTCCTTGATGCATTCGAAGCTCTGGACTCGTCACTGGCCTCACCTTCGCTGCTTGGTGGCGCGCTTGGGCGCCATCCTCCTGCCTTCGCCGCCGGACCAAGCGCCGGTGCCTAGCCCAGACCGGGGCAACGGAGTCGGGACGACGGTTATGATGGCCTTCCTTTACTGCCTAACATGGGCCGTATCAGATGGCCGATGGCCGCAAGTCGCGCTATGATGGCCGTATCCTGGGCAGAATTTGGCAATCACGTGATGTTCGGGCGGGCTAAGTGATTTTCGCTAGACCTTGTTCTTGGGAGTGGTATGGAGTGGTGTAGTTCTTTTCTCCTGGATAAGGCTTTTCGTGTTGTTGTCTCGTGAAATAGTGTTGCTCCTTAAACTCACGCTGCACGCAGAACTGGGTCAAAAAACAAAGCTCCCAAGCCCTCCTGGAAAAGCCAGGTGTTTTCTT